GTATCCTTTAATATGAAGAAAGCCTTGCTGGATGTTTGTTTGTAGCGGTCACTTCACACCTGTGACTTCAGGCTACTCTCATTTATTTTCATGTAAGCAACTGAGTATACGATCCCAACAGGGAAGAAAAATGTCTCACGGGTCTACAGTTTATTTAAATTTTATTTATTTTATTTTGTTTTATATAGGATATAGAGAAGCTATTGAGTTAGTAGATTTTCTCTCTCTCCATTCCCTTTTCATGTGGGAGGAGTAAAAGAAAGTTGATAATGAAAGTTTTTTTCTCCAGTTATTACTTTACCAGCAATTGTCAAGTATTATTATTTAAAAGTAATGTAGGAAAGAATGGTATAAATGTCTTCTGCAAAGTTCTCTTCACTTTCAATCCATTTCAGCTGCTGATTAAGGTAAATCTTTGACACCAAAAGAAAGTAGTCTTTTTTGTTTTTTTACTGTGACAAACAATTACAATTACAGTTTGTAATATGTATTTGGGGAAAGAAAATGCCTGTTTTCCATACCAGTATACAAGATATAGTTGGTAATTTGATTATTTGTGTGCAAGTAAGCCAAACGTGTTTTTTGTATGTGTGTGTACAAGCAAATTTGTGAGAAACACCAATGTAAAAGATAGATTTTAATGACTCATCTAATAGTGGTTAACAGGTATGAATATTTTTGTATAATTATTTATAATGGATAAAGATATTTCAACACTTTTGAAATAGAATGTGTCTCATTAACCCCTTTCAGCTCTGAACATCTAAGCATGGCTTAAGATGTTGACTCATTCCCATTCAAGAATTTTTTTGGTTTTAGTCATTGGTGGATCATATGTTTCTGCTTGGGAATAGGGAGACTCTGTTCAATATATTCAAGTGAAACTTTATTTGAGTATACTTAAATTATGCATATAGTGGGATTGTACCAATGTGATGAAATAACTTTTTATAGAATATGCAGTTATAGCGATGCCGCTGGGGATGGTATATATGTACATACCATGCCCACTGTGAGTTGAGTTCATTAATTGACTTTATACTTAGATGGCTCAACATTTACTTAGTCACCAAGGAGTCAATTACTAGTACTCCCTATCTCACCTGTTCACCCTTTCCCTTTTTGGAAATATATATATTTTTTTAAATCTTTTATTGTCATTTGTAATGTTAATAACATTATATTGATTATGTCTATTAGAATAACAGCATTGAAACTGATAGCATTATTTTTTTTTAATCCCCCAAACTGATGGTAAGGTGAAATCAGGTGAGGTCATGAGGTCTATAAATTGACTCCTTATTGGCTGAGCACTTGTGGAAACATCTCTGTGTAAAAACAGTTCACAAGCCAAAACTAAAATGAACATTACATTTTCCCAGCAGCATTGAGTTAAGGGGACTTTAGTAGTTCTGTTCGTGTAGAGCAATATGAAATTGCAAAAGAAAACAGTAGATGTAATTTATTGTATGAATGCAGAAAGATCACCATCCTGAATTTTTGAATTGGTAAAGGTATTAATGTCTAAACAAGTAGCCATCATTACTAAAAGCTCGGACATTCAGAGCTGAAGGGGATGTTTTTACCGTAAAGTTACAGTGTTATATTCAACTCCCTGGCAAGCTGGGCTCGGTGCATCCCCTAACTTGTTTGTATAAAAAAGATAGGAAAGGAAAATCACAGAACATACAAACACACAAAAGTATATACATACCCTCTGCTACTGTTGTAAGGGTTGTGATCGTCGGCATGTGCTCGTATCCAAATATCATAGTTTTCAGTCCAATAAAAGTTGAATAGAGGAGGGGGTCATAGGTTAATTATTGTTAGGGTGGTGAGCCTTCTTATGGCTCGTAAGTCCAATTCGTGCTCTGAATAGTCATGGGCATTGTTCGCACTGAATTGTGAGAGGTGGCTGTTGTTGATTCGTTCTTTCTGCCCGTTGCTGTCTTTTAGTTACCAGGCTGGCTCTTCTTTACTCTTCAAAGAGGTCCGTGCCCACTTTAATTTTTCTTCACTCGTTCCTGTTACTTGCTGATGCTTCGAAGGCGTTCGGATCTATGTTGGTTTCCTTGAGGGATTTCTTGAGCTGGTCTTTAAATCGAAGCATAGGGTGGCCTCTAGGGCGATCACCTGTATTTAGCTCACTGAAGAGAATTTTCTTTGGTAGTCTTGTGTCCTCCATACGCACCACATGGCCAGACCATCTTAGGCGGTGTTTCATGATCATGGTCTAGATGCTGGTGACGTTGGCTCTTTCAAGGACTGCAGTATTGGACACATAGTCGTTCCATTTGATTTTTATTATTGCTCTCATTTTTTTCTGGTGGAATTGTTCCAGTTTTTTGAGATCCCTACTGTAAAGGGTCCAAGTCTCACATGCATATAACAGGATTGATACTATAATGGTGTTATATACCATCACATTTGTATGGGTGGTTAAGTCTTTGTTCTTGAACACCCTGGTGGATAGTCTCCCTTAAGCAGTGTGGCCAGCTTGTAACCTGTTTTCAATCTCTTTGGAGGAGGTGCTCTGGGTGGAAAGGATGCTTCCCAGGTATGGGAAATGTTTGATGCATTCAATGGTGGTTCCATCCATGGTGATGTTAGTTACAGGTGTATTCTCCCCTGGTGTTGGTTGGGCTAATATCTTAGTTTTGGCCTTGTTAACTGTTAGGCCAAAACGTGTAGGCAGCATGGAAATTATCCACCGATTCTTGGAGCTCTGCTTGAGTGTGGGCTACGGCAGCATTGTCATCTGCATACTGTAGTTCCGTCACATTGATGGTGTTGGTGTTGCGCTGTGAACTGAGTCTGGCCAGTTTGAAAATTCCTCCATCTAATCTGTATTTTATCTCAACCCCTGGGTTGTTGTGGGATACTTCATATAGTATGGCAGCTAAGTATAAAGAGAAAAGGGTCGGCACCATTACACATCCTAGTTTTAGTCCATATGGGGCAGAAAATATACAGCACCTCTCCATGGGCCTCTACTCTATGCTGTTCAGTTGCCTTAGTTTACTATGCCATATTTAAAGTGTAAAATAATTAGTCCAGGACTAGAATGCCTAATAACAAGGTTCCATGTATTAAGGGGACCGTCCTTATATGGGGGGGGGGGTAAATATTAAAAAAAAAAGGTCTTATGGATTTTCTTGATTTTTGAATATTTGATGTTTTTAATATTCTGAATCTTTTGATACCAAATTTATGGGGGTTCCCACATGGGCGGCGATGGCCCCCACGAAAAAACATTTTTACAATTTTTTTTCACATGTGTCTGCACGAACATTTCCTTGTCCCAGAGGATTATGAATTATGTCATGAAAAAAAATTTGAATGAACATCATTGAATTCCTAAGGCAATATTGTAGCCTTTTTTAATTTCCTCAGAAAAAAAAAATGTAAAGAAAAATAATTTTTACCTTTTTTTTCGATTTTCAAAAATTCATATAAAAAAGTAATCAAAATTTCAAAAAAAAACTACTATCTTTTCTGCACATTTTCACAAGGTTTCCAAAGATATACTCAACATTTTATTCAGATAAAAACTCTGGGGCAAGAAAATGTTTGTAGCTCAAAAGAAAAAGAAAAATCGAAAAACAAGCAAACAAAAGGTTGGATATTTGAAGTTCAATTTTTATAGTTTTTCATTTATGGATCTTTACCATTTCATTACTGTAGAAACTATTATTTCTCTATCAAACGCAGTTTGTTAGGTAAAGATATGATCATTAGGCTCTGAGTTATAGAAACAAACAAACAAATGACTCCCATGAAAAGGGGCAAATCCAGACCCAAGACAATATGACCGTTATATAAAATCGGTTGTTTCGTATTTTATACCTCTTTTATTAGTTTTCTTGGGTATACATTCGTTTACATATGTATAGGCATGTAAATTATTGTAAAGGTACATGTTCGCGTACGTGTATATGCGTATATACACTTTTATCCATTAGATCCATAATTATTTATTTCATTTATTTATTTTATTTTTATTCCTGTCTACTCTTCTCCCGCATCGTCTAACCACGTGATTCTGCCTTGAAACAAGTGATAAACGTTTAGTCATGAGTGTAGTACTTGTTAAGGAGTGACAGTGAATTGTTTAGTGTTCTTTAGAAATAACCATTCAGAAAACGTTGATATATCAAAAATATTTTGAAAAACAAATCGCTTATATTCGTTTAGCGTGGGCACTTCATTTTCTGATACAACAATAGGTATCAGATATTTGTTGGTCTATCTTAGGATTTTACACAAATAAATTATATACTACATTGTCTTTACCTTTATTTTATTTATTTATTTATTATTATTTTTTTTTTCATCAAATGTATTTATAATGACATAATGATGTTAAATTGATTATTTAGTTTCAAATGAAAGCGCATACATAAAATTATTGCAATCAGATAAGTCTAAAGCAGTGGCGATGCTTGGAACTTTGTTGCGTGGGTCCCTGCGAGACAGCCTTGAATACAGGCAAGTGCCCAGCCCGTGTAAATATCTATTCATATCAAGTTTGTTTTTAGCAATACAGACTTGTAACTGCTCATGTATTGTCATCGAACCCTGAACATACTTTCATGATGAATTTGTTAACATCGAATCTTATCTACTATATTTTTTGGGATCGGGTACATTTTGTACCCAAATTAAAAAAATCCGGGAAGCTACAAAACGGAACTTTTTCCGAGACAGCAATCGCACTGGCGGGCAGCCCGAAACTGTTTATTTTTTCCTTGTGTCTCATTATGTTGGAACATCGAATCTTATCTACTATATTTTTTGGGAAAGAAATTTGAAAAGTCACATAATGATTTTTTTTTTTTTTTCATTTTTTCATATAAATCTTTCACTTTGGGATAAAACTGTTATAATAAGACACTTTTATCTTTCTGTGATCCATTTCAAGAGGTGATGTCATTATACATTATATCATTTTCGTTCCTGTACAGCGAGTGTGGAAAGGTGAAAATCGTTGACACAGTGGC